GAAGCTGCCATTTGTTATTCATGTATCGCAACACTTCATGAAGGTCACCCCAAGATACTTCTAGATGAAGCTGCAAATGAACGCAAGTTACATGTTAAGGCTGCCATTGAATCTAAGAGACAAATTACTCTCCAGAAGAGGGAAAACATTGCCAGAATTCAGGGTAACTGTGTGAAGATTCTAGGTCAGATCGATAGCGTTAAGAAAGATGCACAAAAGTTTGTTGACAGTATGATCGCTGCCCTGGAGGCGACAAAACAGGAAATATTTTATGACGTAGAAAAGAAAGCAAACGAAACTCTCCAGCTTTTGGTAACTAAACAGCGCGAGATGGAAAGTCAAGTAGCAGAGATTGAGACAGCAATAGAGAAGGCTGAACAAATTTTGAAACGAAGAACAAATGCGGAGATTACAAGACTAGACACCAATACAATCTTTCAAGGAGAATGCAATGATGGAGATCAAGTCGAATGTGACTTTGAAAATCTTCGCCATTTTGTTTTCATTCAAAATGAAATGTTGATGGACAAAGTGAACTCTGGAGGAATTGGAACATTCAGAAGTTTTTTAAACAAGACTGTCGCACAACAATCAAGTACCGACGGTAAAGGAATCAAGGAGGCAACTGTTGGACTTAAAGCACACATTGTTGTGACAACAAGAACTGCCGATGGAGTTCAGTGCTTTGAAGAGCGTGACTTTGTAAAAGTGGAAATCTCAGATCGTCAAGGACGTGACTGTGCCACGGAAGTACTAGTGGAAGATAACACAGATGGTACTTATAAGATCAGCTACTTTGCCAAAGAAACAGGAACATGTGAGGCATCAGTGAAGGTAAATGGAGAACACGTTCGTGGAAGCCCTTTTAAAGTTCAAGTTAAAGCCAGACAGTTCAAGCCTGTGTTGAGTTTTGGCCAAGAGGGATCGTCGTTTGAGCCCTGGGGAGTCGCAGTGAATGAACAAGATGAAATAGCAGTGACTGATAGGGGAAACCACAGAGTGCAGATATTTGACAGTGACGGGACATTCTTAAGATCTTTTGGCCGCAAGGGTGACAAGGAGGGAGAATTAAATGAACCTTGTGGGATTGCTTTTCATGATGGTAACATTGTAGTCAGTGATCGTAATAACCATAGAGTTCAGGTCTTCAGCGCGCAGGGTGAATTTCTTTTCCAGTTTGGGGGCGAAGGAAATCTTGATCACCAGCTTAACCTTCCTCTTGGTTTGTCAGTAGACAGTGAAGGCAATTTTATTGTTGCTGATCCCCGTAACAAATCTATTAAGGTATTTTCTGCAAGAGGCCATTTCCTGCACAAAATTGGCACAGCAGGCTTTTTGAACTTTCCTTTTAATTGCATTCAGCACGTCGACAACCATCTTGCTATTGTAGTGTCAGACACTCATGAACATTGTCTTAAAGTGTTTAACAAAGAAAGAGTGTTTCTGGTTAAATTTGGTAATAGAGGGTATGGGAATGGGGAGTTCAATGGTCCCCGTTGCTTATCGGTAAACAAGGCAGGACATCTAATGGTCTGTGATACATGTAACCACAGAGTTCAGGTATTTGAAATGAGTGGAAAGTTTGTAACTAAATTTGGATGTTATGGTAGCAAAAAAGGAGAGTTTGATTTGCCAGTTTCTACGGCAGTCCTTAGCGATGGTAAAATAGTAGTATCTGACTTCCGTAATAACCGGGTCCAGGTGTTTGAATAAAGATAACAATTTTTTATCTTATCATTACGATAATAATTGATATTGATTTGCCAATCTAAGGTCATATCATGTAAAATTAACATGAGACGATGACTTTGAAGTATCACCTCATTTTCTCGACAAAAATGATTGACGGAAAAAACGTTATCTTTACAGGGTTTTTGGGCCCATTGTGTAATTGTAGCATATATCATGAATAAGAGCTTGGCCATTAGAAAACGTATCAGGGGGAGGGGGGGGGGGGGCAACTATAAAACAAGAAAATTTTCAGAAAGGGATAATAAAAATAAAAAAAAAAACCAACAAAACAAAA